CAACAAAATGTTGTGAAGCTATAAAATCCTATTTGAATTAGTAGAGGGTAATAATAACATACCTGTGTGAGTGATAGTAATAGATTGACCATTGCCAACCTGTACTTGAGATCCCCCCTAATAACTGGACTTCAACATCATGTTAGAGGCATCTACAATCATGTGATTTGATGCCCCAGAGTCCATGTACCAAGACTTATCAGTTATTGTTTGTGGTGTAGCAACAACCTGAGGATTAATGGTTGAAATAAAAGGTGTAGAAGATGATTGTCCCACGGTTGAGTTGTTGATAGAAACCATATTGACAGGATGAGTTAAGGGTTGAGGTTCAGGTGCATGTGGTTGATATCCTGGAGCAATATAGCTTGGTGAGGAATCTCTAGCAACACTAATGGCTGAAAAATCATGAAACCCTTTATAGGAATTGATGGCAAACTTTGGTTGTAGAAAATTTGCTGCATAAAGGGCTTGAGCTTGAGTAGCTGGATCATGAGAGCTTCTAGGGTATGTCTGAGTGTTGACAACAGGAGAAGATATAGGTGTGGTAACTAGCTGAGTTGAAGAGGAGTTGTAATTTTGAAAACCATGGTAATCATAGTCAAACTGATGGTAGCATTGCAAAGCTAAATGACCAGGCTTGCCACACACTTAACAAACTAGCATAGGCCTAAAATAACCTCTGCCTCTCATTCCACTATTGTTAAACTGAAAATCGCTAGATGGAGGGTAGTTAGCAGTGGCGGGGTGGTGATGCAGTAGTGTACTTGGCTATATTAGGAAGTTGTTGAGGATACCCTTCATGATGTGTATAGTTCACCAAATCGAATGAGCAGATCTAGTATTCTGAAAAGTGCCTCCTCTAGGACCAGAATTCTAGATTTGTGATACACTATTGAAATTCTGAATTTAAGACACATTATTGAGGTCAATTGAGACTTGCTTAGTAGCCAGTAGTGTAGAGGTCATTTGCTCATGGAAGTTAGACATTGCACTGTTCTATTTTTCAATGCGCATCTCATGCTTATGTAAAAGCAATTGAGCTTCCTGAAGAGTGGTATTACTACTGTTGGCAATAAGATTTGCAACCATGGCATCAAATTCTGGACCTAAACCATCCAGAATATATAACAAGAATTCTTCTTCTCCAATCTAAACCCCACTAGCTACCAACTCATCACCTATTTCTTTCATTCTTAAAATATATTCATTAACACTCATGGACTCTTTTTTAGTATTTTGAAACAAATTTCGTAAATCCAATGTCCTAGCCTTGGAGAAAGATTGAAAATACAGTTCAAATGTATTCCAAATCTCATATGCACTTGTGCACTTGGCTACATGCCTAAACATGGATTCGGAAATAGAAGAAACCAACTAGTTTACTAAAAATTGATCTGTTTTCTTCCAATCAAAATATTTTGGATTAGGTTTCTTAAACTTTTTCAAAATCTATCATCTTCTCAATTAGAAACATAGAAGGACATGTATTCACACATGTTACAAAGCCGTCAAGCTGATATGATGTCAGAACAGGTAGAATTTGATACCTCCAGTAATTATAGTTCTTTTCCCTTAATTTGACAGAGAGAGATGGAAGAGAAGAATGACCTACTGAATTCATTGCATTTGCACTGTCAGCTTGCTCTTTAAAAATCTTCAAACCAGAATTTAAGACCTCAAAACTCAAATTAGCCATGGACGTCTGTCGGTGGCTCTGATACCTCCAGTATCAGAGAAGATTCTTCAGCAGAATTGAAAAGAAGAATTAAAAACAATAAAATATTAAGAGAAGAGTCTAGAGCTGGAAGAAGAGCTGAATTCTAATAACTGAATTTTCTTCAACAAAGAAAACATAAATAATAGTCTCTTATATAGAGACTAAAGCATATTACAAAACGGTGCGTTTACGCACTACTTGCAAACTTTACAAAACACACCCTAAGCACTACTTACAAACTTTACAAAAACAACCTTACTAACTATTATACCTAATAGGTAGTGATGGCTCTAGTGATGAGAAAGATTCAAATGAAGAGCAAGTCAACCTTTGTTTCATGCCCAATGAATGAGATTCGGCTTTGAATTTGAGGTAAATGACTCTGAACATTATTCCTTTGATGAATAACAATGTGCATTGAGTCATTAATGGAAGAATTTGGAAAGGTTTCTTCAAGAAATTGTGTTTTAAAGAAACAAACATGCATGTTGGAAAATGAACATGAAAAACTCCTTAGTGAACATGAGCAACTCAAGGAAGATTTTGATTGTGTTTCATGTGATAAAATTTGTTTATCTAGAGAAGTTGATGAATTGAAATCATTTTGTGAAAACTTGCAAAAAGACAACATTGATTTAAAAAATGAGCTTGAAAACACAAAGGAAACTTTGAGTAACTTCACTTTGAGAAGCAAGAGACTTGATGGAATGCTTGCTTCACAAAGATGTGCTTTCAACAAAGAAGGTTTGGATTATAACATGTTTTTAAATGAAAAATCTTTTTCAAAAAATGCATCAACCTTCCTTTAAATCAAAAACACTTTGTAGGAAATGTAATTTGTGCAAGTATGTTGGTCATAGCACACACATGTCCTATTAGGAAGTGCAAACTTTTTGTGGTAAAAAGGGTTTGAATTTCTAAGGGAATGATTAAGACTAACTCCCATGGACCTAATACTATTTGGGTACCAAGAAGTACATAAATGTTTTCATTTTGTACGTGTGTCTTGAGGCAAAGAAGCAAGGAGTAAACAAGTGGTATCCTGATAGTGGATGCTCAATACATATGGCAAGAGACAAGAGCTTGAAAGAAATCTTGATAGCGGATGCTCATGATAGTGGATGCAAATTTAACTTGAGTGCAACCTGAATTAGAGATGGCAATGGGTCGGGTTGGGACTAGATACCCCTTGGCCTGGGCCCGAGCCCGTTTTGGGATGTCGGGTAATGCCCAGGCCCTGTCCATCGGGCTTTTTGTGACTCCCAGTCCTGACTTATGTTAATTTCTATAATTTATTTTCTCATAGACAATCTTTGATATATTTTTCTTTGTCATTCATATTAACTTAATTAATAGTATCTTTTGCTTATATCACCATATTTTTTGTGTGTATAGACAAATATGGTGGACAAGAGATATTGGATTTGACTAAGATCACAATTGATTGTTAATTATAATCACATAAAATAATTTTTTTTTTTTAAATGATGAAAACTCGGGCCGAGCCGAGCCTGGGGATGGCTGTCCCAAGCCCGGTTTGTACCGGGGGGCAAGCCCTAAAACCATGCCCAAGCCCATGCAAACAACGAGTAATGCCCAACTCATATGGGCTGGGACAGGCTGGGTACCCGAAAATCAGGGTACAATTGCCATCTATAATCTGAATTGAAGCAATTGAAAGCCAACATTCTCAAATCAACATTTAATGTGTAATCAGCTCAATTTCAACCAATTCCTTGATAGACATCAACAATACAAACAAATCATGCATCAGAATCATATTAAAGTATCGTAGTCAAGCTAAAACAAAAAACAAAAAGAATCTGAACACAAAACCCAATGCAAACAATTTGTCTAATATTCGATCTCAATCCAACTAGTCAAGAAATACTCTAAAGAGGAGTTGTACTCGTTGATCTTGGTCTGACCTTCATCGTAAAGGGCGACCAAGAGCTCAGCCACTCATGGTGGAAGTAACAGAGGTAGAGGAAATTGAATGGTCATTGGCCATAAGGAAAACAAGCTATTGGCAGTAGATGGAACGTCATAGTAGAAGAAGATGATTGGTTGGCGGCTGCAAGGTGGAGAGGCATGATCAAGAATACGAGGAGACACAACCGATGGTAGGCTACTATGACTTGCAACAAAAAGAGGTGGAACGACACCAGAAAGATTTAGCGTCACAGTGGATCGATTAGCCAGTGGTTGGAAAAGACAAATCATAGCAAAGGAAGTCAAATTGTCACCAGGAAGTCAAACAATCGTGATGGCATGAGACCAAAAAACGCGCGGCCAGCGGTGGAAACAATGAGGAGATGATGAAAATGAAAGAGATGAAGACTGGCCGACGTTTAGGGAGGAAGATCGTTGTTGGAGTCGCAGGAACTGGAAGAGGAATCGACTAGGGTTTGAAGGAGTGGCCCTTGATTTTGCAACTCTTGCATTTCTTTTTATAGTAAATTTGGCAAATATCATTTCGGTTCTTGCACAAATAAAAAGTGACAAATAGTGACAAAATCAATCCCAAACATAAATATCAGTTTGACCCCTAGTGCATCCAAAGACACCGTTGAGATCTTCTGGATTGCCATGAGCTGATCTACATGATCTCGGTGGAGTCTCCAATATAATATTGGAGCTAGCATTTAGCCGCAGGACACGTAAACATTTTCCTGTGCCTCCTACGGCTAAACACCAATTTCGATCCTATTGATTTCATCGGGATTGCGTAGATCGACTCATGCTAATCTAGGAGAGTCCAGTGGTGTTGCTAGATGCGCCACCGTTGGCAACGATTTTCGACGACCAGTAGTCGTTGGTCGTGGCAGTTCAGTGAAAGAGAGTTTTGAAAAAAAATTAGATGTTAATTTTATAAATTATTTTAATATATTATTTTTAACACTTATCAAATATTTATAAATATGGTTTTATAATTATAAAATACTTTATAATTAAACTACGTCCTTTTTAGTCATTACATGTAACAATAATTTAAAAGCTAAATTCAATAAACACATTAATAACTTTTGAAACTCACATCAACTTAGAAAATTAGATTTACCAAATACATTCCAATTATTTTTGAAGTTGATTATTTCCAAAGGTAAGCTAAAAGCGATTAATTTAAAAAATACAACAATTCCAAACAAGCCTAATTGTAGTTAATTTGACTGCTACTATAGTGTATCTAATAATTTATGCTATTCTACCATAATTCGGAAGTAAAGATTTAATTTATAACAACAGATTAATTGGAAATAGTCTATCCAATGTACAGGTTTAATTAATCTAAATTTTATTGATTCTTTCATAGAGATGAAAAGAAATCCATTGACACACCTTAAAAATTATTCTGCATTACTACGAGATAATGATTAATGCAAAAATATAATTTTCTTCTATAAGGGGATGGGTTTAAATAGCAATGACAACACAAAATCCATGGTCTCTTTGTCTTGAACACCATGCCCATCTCCATGTTGATACATACAATGCGACATTCTGACGAGATTCAATATGATTTCAGTACTAGTTTTAGATAAGGAAGAATCTGCAGCTCTGCATACATTCACCTTCTTCCACATTTGCCTCACTAGATTCTCCATGTGTTCACGAGCAGCTTCCTCTGAGGCACCGGTTTCATGCATGTAACACTGGATTGATTTAGGAACATCTCCTCTCTTTAATTCAGCCTGAATAATTGACAGAAACACAATAATTTCATAGAAAATTTAAAAGAATATTCAACACAATAATTGGTAGACAATGGTAAAATTTACTTACCGATGAAGTCCCCAAATCATCTTGAAGGCGAAAAATCATTGATGACCAGTATAATATATCAAGACTGTTTTCTAAAAATTCCAATTCCTTCTCTATTATCGGATTTGCTGCAGACAGATATGCTTGAACTGCTATTATAGGTCCTGTTATCGATATCCAAGCATTTTTCATATATTCCTCGAGCGTTGGTGTATATCGACTGTGATACCATTTTGCTTCCACCAGGTAGGATTGTAATAAATTTACCCACTGATGCAAATGGTTTAGCAATATTAGATACAACATTTCAATGTATAATATATATGTGTATGTAGGGAAATTCTCAGGTGTGAATGTTCTAAAACCTTTTACGTGCAGGCCAAGGATAAACGACTAGACATTGATTTTACTTTTTGAATTTTGTAAGCTAGTGTCTAAACACTTACCCTTGATCTTCATATAAAAATTTTCAAAATGGCCGCAATAGAGATTTATATATATATATATATAACATCATAAGTGCAACAGGAGAACGGGTATATTACTGCTTTTTGTAGATTTGACACAACGTCTAAACCTTGTTCTTTGAGAATGTCAAAAGCCATTTCATTGAGAGAGTTGTAAAGCGCCAAAAAGCATATTTTCATGTAATCTGGAAGCTGTTTCATTGCTTTAATATCCCACCTGATAAATTGGCCAAAGGAAAACCCATGGTGTTATTTATTATTTTATGAAGTTTTACTTACCATTTAAACAAAGAAAACTTTTGCCACCAACCTCTCAACAGCATCAGTGAATAACTCAAGTTCAGGCAAGGTGCCATAGACATCATAAATGTCGTCAATTACCGTAATTAGAGCAATGGCTTTTGTAAGCATTTTCCTGCAGTATGTGTACTGAGGTTCAAATGCTATCCCCACAGTCCATAAGAATGATGATACCAACCTGTTTCTGGCAAAACTCAACTTCTCTCCAAGACCATTATTCTTCCACCACCTTTACAGTCGAAACAGAACAAATCAACTTGGAACGTTTAGGAAAATTTGAAGCCAAAGAAACGTTGAAGCATATAGAGCTATTTATGGAAGATTTCATTGGAGCTTATGTAGGGAATTTGACGATATTCGAGCTAAACAATCATAAGAAATCAGAATTCAGGAAACCTAACCTTGACATGTCCTTAAGTTCTTGCTGGTGCATTCCTTGCACAATGTTGAAATCCAACTTAGCGAGCTTGAGTAAAAGGGGGTTCTTGTTTTCGCTTGTCTCATATACATCTATATATCGCCTTGCCTCTAATCTTGGTGCACTCCAATGCGGAGGAAGCCTCAAGGCATGCTTATCAGGAGCTTTGAGATGTTTAGTGGTAAACTCAAAGGCCTCCTCCATGATGCTTTCGCCTTCTAAGCCGTAGTATGCTGCTTCATATAAGCTATGTATTGCCTTGATATCATCACAAAGGCTCTCCCTGAAACTGCCCGTCTTGTCCTTGAAACTATTAAAAGTTTCTGCAATAAAAAAAAGTTAATACTATGATACACTGCACTGATTTTTTCTATCTTCAATTTATAGACTGCAGAGATTGAAAAACTTTCATTACCTTGAGAAATGTAATAATTGTGTTGCCTGAGGAGTCTAAATTCAAGAGAGGCTGCATATAGATTTTCTTTCTTCCATTTATCATCGATGCAATTGTGGACGCTGTGCAATATGGTGTTTATCTCAGTTTCAAAGTGATATGCCAATCCAAGTCTTTGCAAGTTGTCAATCAGTTCGAGTTGATCCAATGGCTTGTCCACTTTGTTAATCATTGTCCTCACTTTTTCCTTCAGGCTTTCTGCTTGTTTTGTGTATTTATCTCCCTACAGAAATAAGATTTTAACTAGTAAAGACCAAATTTATATAGGCACATAAGGGAATAAGGAAGAGAAAGAATCGATTTTGATTACCGTATAGTGACAGGTCAATGACTGCAGATAATCATCGTCCCAAATGGAAGGTTGGTAGTTTCCTGATCGCCTAAAGACTGTTGAATTTCTAAGTTCACAGTTAGTAATGCACCGTACTGGATTTTGTGCAATGATTATTCTTCTGGTAGCTGTTTGTGACATAATTAGTCTACGCCATTGGAAACCAGAAGCCGAAGAAAGAGGTGTAGGTGTTGATACAATACAAGAAGCCATTAATCTAGTCAAGCTAGACACTTGATAAAAACTGTCTCCAAAGTTCATACAGAATCTGTAATAACCTATGTTAAATGTTACTGTTAAAGAGCTGCAAGCAAATATATAGGCCAGGCATCAAGGTTATTTTATTGTAAATATCAGTCTTTGTGTAAGCTTTTTGCGTGCCAATGACTTCAAATAAAAAACTCCTCCAAAGTTGGATGTACGAGCAATCAGGTTATTGATTGATTGATTGAATTTCGACAATTTTTGTGAACACAACACTCGATCAAGGGTGGCAGCAGACCACTTTAATGCATGGATTATTCATGACAACCATTCTTGGGTCTGATGAATAAATTTGATATACCATTCGATGTTATGGTTTTGACATATCGATACAAACGTAAGTAAATCTTATAAAGTACTTTTACGTTTCACATGTAATTTAGCTCTTAACTTTTGTCCAAACTCTCGTTTTCATCTCTAAGTTTTAGCATGCAGGGACATTGGTTTTAACCATTTTTAGATCTCTAGACCTGGGTATTTGAATAGCAATCCCCTTACAATGTCGATATGTGTAAGCACTTGGACCGACAGAAGAGAGGCAACGGCAATGCACTAAATCACTTCACTAATTAATTCTGATTTAGTTTCTGGGAAGAAGTAAAGAGTGTCTAAATACAATGATGGATTTTATTAAAAAATCTAGCATAAATTTCGTTGACCATATAACCCGTGAAACAAACTAATAAAAGCATGTTATGAGGAAACATCTATGGTTAACTTTCCTATAAAATTTGAGTTTAGGTAAGGCCAATATAGGCCTCCTTGAACTGAGCTTGATCTTTGACATATTGAATCTATTACGAGACATTGATCAAATAATATCATGATATTTATATGAAACTTTATTTGTTATGGGAAAGACATATGAAAAGCTAAACAACCAACAATTGTGATGTCAATTACCAGTATTATAGGGCTTAATCTAATCTCCCGCTTAAATTCTCCCAAGATACTTTACCTTAAAGAAGAAAATTAAAGGAAAAGGAGTTAACTGAGGGGATTGTACATCATCCATTCAAAACATAATTTAGCACTTTTGTAATTGTTACAATACAAATATGCTACAGAAATTACCAAAGAGCAGAGTCATAAGTGACTGCAAATGACAAATATAAGTTTCATTGATCAAGAGAATAAATATTTGTATACATCTTTTGTTGTATTCATTACAAACCCGCGTAGTCGGAGAGGAAAGGTTACACCAGGAATTTGAAGGAAATTTCACAAATGGAATTCTCAAAAATTTCTACCCTTTTGAACCTTCAGATGACAGGCAGTTGTTCTGGGTAATCTATAGATGGGAGTCAACTTGATATACAGATCTTCATAATCGTACATCTTGATATCAGTTTCTGTCCTTCACCTAATTATAGATTCGAAGAGTAGCACACAATAGAAACACGCAGCAAACAATCAGCATGAATGATGTGCTTACACAAGCTCTAATGCAGCCAAGTATAAATGAAAACCCAGATCCAATATCAACATACATAGGAAGGATTAAAAGTTAAAGCATGACAATCTACTTCAAAAAGGCTATCGGACCACTATAATGGGTAACATTACAAAAGATTATGAAAATATTACAAAGCCAGGAATATACAGCATTGTTAACCATAAAGAGCAATTTTCTTCTACTTTAATCCACCATTAACATTTTTTTATCCTCTAAAATGTCCAACTTTCTTCAAATGCAATAAGTGTTAAGTATCACTTCAATTAAACTATTATAATAATAAAAAAAAAAAATTTACTTCAATAGAAGAAAAATGTAAATGAACTTTTGTTGCAGTGCCTTGGACTATATATTTCATTTCACTATCAGAGTCCATACACAACCTCACAAGGTGAAGAAAAAAGTACCAATTATGAGGGTTTTGTTTTCCGGCCAACTTGAGAGATTCGCCTGAGCTCTTGGGTTCCCCTTCTCATTTCTCTGCAACGCACAAAGAAAAAAATGATGGACTTTCGTACAAAAAGTTCGGCCAGAATGAGAAATTAACAAACCGGAGCTCAAACCTTTGATACAAATAAACAATAAGATAGAATATGGGTAGCAGCATCAAAGTCAAAATGGAAATAGCCAGGTAGAATATACTCGTTTGCTTCTGAAAAATGGAAAAAAGGAATAATAAATGTTAAATATGAAGCATAAATTTAATTTTTCAGGTAAGATAAACTAAATGGAATGTTAAAGTTTATTCAAGATAGACCAAATCCAATATGGAAAGCATTAGCCTGAAAGTTTAAACTCACAGGTCAAGCTAACATCAGAATTTACTCATAGTTCCTTTGGCAACCCAAATGAGCAAATGAACTATGGTCTTAATAAATATTTATGATAGTAAACAAGAGTGAATTCTTGCTGGAAAATCATAGCTCTATCTTAGGCAGCAAAATATCAAACCTTACCTTGCCTCCTTTAGGAAACAGCTTTCTTTTTGCCGGGCAAGTGTGAGCATCACAAAATTGTCGCAAAAACAATTCTACAAGTACATGAGAAAATCACCACGATAAATTTAGTAATTGTCTAATGAACATACATATTGTTTTAAATAAGAGAAAGAAGTCTTCCAGTGTAACACAATTCTGTCAGTAAAATGACAGAGGGAATAAAACATCTTCTACAAGCTACAGAACAACAATACCATGAAGACGGCTTGCTGAGGGACCCTGATTAATACGAAAACAGTTGTTGGCAAGACTCTGCAATTTAAAAAAAAAATAAAAAAAATAAAAAAAAGAAGGTTAAAAATAAATGAAAACAAAATACTGGAATAAAAAATGCAAGGAAGTGGCAGTAGACACGACCTCACAAAGGTGGCGATTCCTTGCAACAGCTGCAGGATTGCACTTGGTTTTGGAAGACTTGGAATTCATCACAAAATCACAATGCAATGCTCCACATAAATCAGCCAAACAGTTGCTGTGACTCTGAATTCATTTAAAAGTTTCAGGTTAACAGAATTAATTTCTTTTTACTAGGCTAAAAGACATCACATTAAGATGCTGTTACACTCATTTATGCAACAACAACTTTTAAATTATTTAAAAGGAAACATGTTTTGAGTATCATTTGGCATACAATTCTTTCAGAATTTCATTAATCTAGTTATACATCATGAAATTGAAGAATTATTTGAAATCACTAAATATAGCATGAGCAATTACTGTCATAATCTACTAACATTTAGCAGCCTGATCAACAAAGTATATTATAGACAAGATTTTCCGAAATTGAATAAATACATGTTATAAAATAAAAAGTACTGACTAATATAATTTTCCATTTCACAATCATATTTTGATTAAATCTATCTACGATGATAGTTTTCTGAAATATTTAGAATTAAAATAGAATTGTGAAAACCATGTCTATTATCTACTCAATCAAGCTAACTTACAATGTGATGCTTAAATTTACTTAAAAACATGTATTCCAGGAAAACATAAGAATAAGCACGAAGTAACAAGTAACAATTAGGGTTTGATCAAATGAACTAAAATGAAACCATCATGTCACAGTGTAATAACAAAATAAATCCAACATTGATCAAAAGTCAAGGAACCAGGACCACATACAACATTAAGAAGATTGTGGTGTCTATTGTCAAAATGCTGATCAAGAAATTTTTCAGCGCGGAAGCTTTTCTTACAATATCCACACCGCCATTCGTTTATATCGACATGAATCTTGTGCTGCTCTTGATCCCTGAACATATCATTGTCCTGATGAAGCCTACACTTATTCGAAATTTGAAACCTTTCTTGCTCTACAAACGGCATCAAATACTACACAAGAAGAAAGCCATCACACCAATAGTTTGAAGTCAATGAATTATTTCATAAAATATTGTCTACTAGCATTACCTCCTCTATGATATCCCAGGCTGCCCTGCTTCTCTCTCTTGAACAATGAACTTCATGAGCCAACCCCGCCTCTTGTTTAAGATTTCTATACAAAACAAATAACTAATTGAGTTACAACTCTCTAACCCCAGTAAATCATTTCAGTTGTCAGTATAGCAAAACAAATATGTAGGAGCGAATTTCAAATTTCAATTGAAATATTAAGAAAGAAGCATTACCTGGCAGCTGGTTCTTCAAGACCCTCCAACATAAAATTAAACAAAATGAAAGGGGAAAGAAAAGAATTCAGTAATATATAATGGGATTGAATATGAGCTTGAAGAAATATATGATTTGTAATATTTAATAATTATGCGTATTTAATTACCTGAACTAAAGGGTCTTGCAAAGGAAACAACAAGAAGAGAAGAACTGGAGTAATTATTAGCCTGGTTCTCCCCATTTCTTTTCTCTCGTTGTACGAGACTTGAGATTCTGTGAGAAGTTTTTCACTTTGATTTCCTGGAATTTTTTATTGGTCAGTTTGGTCATGGGTGGTTGGATGCCCTACTCGGGCATTAGGTTACACTAGCAGCGCTAGAGTATGTCTTAGTCTTAGCACCTGAATAGTGTTAACCATTAGTTTTAAGTCTTAACCCAGCGGGCCGGCCCAATACATGTTGGCATGGGCTGGAGCTTGCATAAGACAATCTTCAACCCATTGCACCAAATTGGTGCAAGTTTCACACCAAATTAGTGTGATTTTTTGTGTAAAATACTATTGCATCTCTAACTCATTACACCAAAAAGAATATTCTTTAGAATATTCTCTTTCTTTTTCTTTTATTGTAATAACCAACAATTAATCTATTTCACTAATTATTTTTGGATATATTAATTAAATATTATGAATGGTATTTTTATTAAATAATAATTACTTTAAAAATTATACTAATCTAATAAAATTAAGCATTTATTTAATCAAATAAATATTACATTTAATTTAAAAAAACATTACATCTAATACAAAATGATACCCAAAAAAAAAAAAAGACAACAACAACACAAAAATAAAATTTTATATTGATAGTAATTTAATTTTTCGAATTAGTATATTCTTCCCACAAATTATCAATTAATGCATTTCGAAGAGCATGGTGAGCCTCTGTATCATTGATTTGTCTATGTCGAGCAAGAAAATTTTGAAATCGGACATTTTCATCTACGAAAATTTCAATTTTGGGAGTTGGCGCTTCTATCTGATTCTCAGTCGATGCATCAATATTACGATCATCCTCGATTATCATGTTGTGCATAATAATACACGCAGTCATTATATCATGTAGTACATTTTTTTCCCAAAAACATGTCAGTCCTGCCACAATTGCAAACCACGATTGGAGAACTCCAAACACATATTCCACATCTTTTATACATCCTTCTTGTTTCATTGCAAATAATTTTTTTTTTTGGACCACGTGGATCGAAGAACTCCAAACTCCAAAAGTCAAAATGTTACTAGCATAAGATAAAAGTTACAAGAAAGGTTTCAGATTTGATCATGTGTGGCCTATACTTAAGGATATTGAAAAATTTACAGATAATGTTAACACCGCAGAAGTATTTCAAAGGCAAACCGGTAGGTTTGTATCACAAGAATCAGAGACTCCCACTTCAAAGTCTCACCAATCAGTGTCTTGTAACATGTTGTCATATTCTCTAAACATAAATGATGAAGATATTAGGGGTAGTTCAGCTGAATGGAACAACCCATTAGGGTGAAGAAAGCAAAATTAAAAAGGAAAAATGATGAAGAAGTTTCAAACAATATTGAAACTATTCAAGAAGAAAATCAACAGCTCACTGCTATTTTCAATCAGGGCAACTCAGCTAGGGCACAAAATTATGAAATCCAAATTAAAAAATTGGCTTTGGCAAAATATCGAGAAGATAACAAAATTTTATTAAAGGATTTGAATTCCATAACCGATCCAAGCCTACGTGAGTTTTTTCAAAATGAGCAATCAAGAATTATACAAAAAAGAGCTCAACAATAAGGTCAAGGATCTCAAAATAACTCTAGTTCTTTCTAATATTTTGATTATCTTAGAAGATTCAAAACTAATCTACCGGAATACTAAATTGTTATTTTAGTTTATGTTGTATTTTCTTTTAATTTTAGTGTTTTTAAATTAGTGTTAATTTTTATTTTGAGTTATTGCAGTTTAATATTTGCATTGAATAAAGTTTTGTTTTTAATTTTTCATCATTTTTGAATTATATAATTATTATGAATATATTATTATGAATATTAATATAAATAATAATCAAATTAACTTAAATACAAATAACAAAAAAAAAAAAATTATACTTTTTGAATAGTGCCATGCCAAATTGGTGTGCATGAATAGTGCTACACCAAATTTAGCGTGGCACTGTACATGGGCACCAAATTGGTGCAAAAAATGGCGCTGGATTGGAGCCTCTCTTTACCATGGGTTGGAGATGCCCTAACAAGTCACAATTCCAAATCCTTAGGCACATGTCCATACAAAATTCTAGGCAATCTCCCTTAAAAACGGGCAAATTATTGTGACTTCCATGAATTTCAAGAATAAAAAAAGATCCTTGATATTATAAATTATTACAATCTCTTCTCAATTGTGGCAAAATTATCATTTACCTCCCTCTGACCATGAAAATTAACAAACATCATGAATTGACACATTTATCCTTTAAATAAATGTTAAAATTATAAATTTACCCGTATTATAAATTCAATTTTCAAACTTTTTAGAGCCCTCCATGTTGGTTGTTAGATTAGACTTATGCTTTTGACTAACAATTGTGGTCGTTGTGTGAAATATTGCATATATACATAATGTGGAATTTAAACATTTATCTCCAACTATATTGTTCAATTGTTATAGAAAGCCAAACATGGATTACAATGAATCAAAGATGTAGATAATTTTTGAGAGAGTGTTTGAGAGATGTCTTCTAGCCTATGCCTCCAGAATTTTGTGTTGTGTGATATTTCTTTTATGGAGAAGATGATATCCTTATAAATGGCTAGGCTAAGGACCAAGATAGCTCCCATAAACTGTCTTTAACCTCCTATCAAGGATTAAGATAGGCAGTTAAATAACTTATCCTTAAACTAACTTCAACTGCATAATTGTAGCATGTGGCCACATGAAGTCTTACATTCTCCCACTTGGCCTCATGCCACAATTTGAAAATAACTGCATAGGTGATTAATCCGAATATGGCCATAATATGAGTTATAGCATACATTACTTACATAAAAGCTCAATACATGAATGATGGCTGCCATATCCTTCAAATACCATTGGAGTCCCACACTAACTAGGCACGTCAAGTCTACTGGTTTATAAGAAAGGGTAATCATCCCATTCAACAAGGCCTTAGTAGGTGAAGAGTCAAGCCTACCCCAAATTCTATCATGGTATCAGAGTCAGGCCTAGTTGAGCTGAGTGCTTGACTAGTAGGTGAGGAGTTAAAGCCAGCAACTATCTCCATCAACAGGCATGACCCAACATATAGGCTTGACCGTGAGGGGGAGTGTTGGAGTCCTATATTAACTAGGCATGCTCAAGTTTACTGGTTTATAAGAGGGGGGTAATCCTCCTATTCAACAAGACTTTATTAGGTGAGGAGTCAGACCCATCTCAAATTCTTTCAAATACTCTCTACCATCTATTACAATGCATGATATTTTATATAAGTACTTTATGAGTTTCTTAAATTTATGAATGAACTTCCTATTAGTCATTCGTGGTCCACTTTAATTTTGAGATTTAACTTTATATGCACCAAAATACAATAGATAAAATATATATGTCAAAATATCCGAATAAGGTCATAGATACAAACATAAAAGCTAACTTATACATCAAATGAACTAATGAAACCCATACGATCCACATGATCCTTAAATACTTTAACTGAAAATCCTTTGGTCATGGGATCGATGACCATTAATTTTGTATTGATGTGTTGGGTATCCACCTTTTGCTCTTTAACATGACCTCTAACTGAAAGATACTTTATATCTATATGTTTGCTGCAACTACTACTTTTGTTATTCCTTGAGAAGAAAACAACAACCAAGTTATCACGATAAATCTTTAATGGTCTTGCAATGGAGTCGATAACTCTTAAACCAGATATAAAGTTTCTCAACCATAAAGCTTGTGATGTAGCCTCATAGCACACAATGAATTCTTCTTCCATTGTGGATGTTGCAATTATATTGTGCTTAGTGCTTTTCCACGATATGACACCATTAGCAAGCATAAATATATATCCAGAAGTAGACTTAGAATCTTTACATCCACCGAAATCAAGTCTATAGACCCAATCACCTCCAAATGATCAGAGTGTCTGTATGTAAGCATATAATCCTTGTTTCCTTGTAGATAATGCATAACTTTCTTGGCAGCTTTCTAGTGTTCAAGGCGTGGGTTACTTTGATATCTGCCAACATTCCTATTGCATACCCTATGTCAAGCTTGATATAGACCTAAGCATACATGAGTTTTCCTACGGTTGAAGCATAAGGTATTTTATTCATTTATTCATCTCTTTGAACTCCAATGAGTTCTTTGGACATTGTTCCAAACTGAATTTATCTCCTTTAACAACAAGAGCTGGCAATGGTGAACAATTTTGCATTCGAAAACTTTCCAAAATCTTTTAGATGTAGGTCTTTTGAGATAAATCTAAAAACCTTCTAGATCTATCTCTATGAATCTTTATGCCAATGACATAAGAGGCTTCACCCATATCATTCATCTCAAAATTTTGAGAAAGAAATCCTTCAGTGTCATGAAGTAGACCCAAATCACTGCTTTCAAGCAAAATATCATCCACTTATAGAATTAAGAAGATAAACGTGCTCCCATTAGTTTTAAGATAAACACATTGGTTCACAATATTCTCAATGACACCAAATAAGATATTAACATTATGAAACTTTGTGTAGCACTGACAAGATGCTTGCTTAAGTCTATGTATAGATCTATTCAACCTACATACTAGCTTATCCTCATTACAGAAACCTTTTGGTTGTTTCATGTATACCTTCTCCTCAAGATCTCCATTTAGGAAGGCTGATTTCACATCCATTTGATATAACTCCATATCAAAATAAGCTACTAATGCCATGACGATTCTTAATGAATCTTTCTTTGAAACTAAAGAGAAAGTCTCACTATAATCGATGCCTTCCTTTTGTGTGAAACCCTTGGCCACCAATCTTGCTTTATATCGTTCGATATTACCAAAAGCATCTCTTTTGGTCTTATAGACCCATTTACAACCAACAATTATTGCTCTTGGTGGTAATTCGACGAGTGTCCAAACTTGGTTTTTGTCCATGGATTCCATTTCTTCTTTCATGGCATTATACCAAATGAGAGATTTTTCTCCATTCATGGCTTGTAAAAATGAAGTGGGATCTTCATTTAACTAACCATCAAAACCAGTATCTTGAAGGTATACCATATAATCTTTAGAAATCGCTAGTTTCCTTACTCTTGAAGATCTTCTTA